ACATTAATGGACAAGTGGTGTAACCATTTTTCCATCAATTTGCCCATGAAGGTTGATGGGAGAGTGGAGATATGACTACTTTAGGAACTTTGAAGAATTATTTATGAGGATGATGTGAAAAAACAATTGGAAATGGTTCACGGTGATGAGTAAAAGTACAGCTTAAATTATAACAAACTATGGTGTTTCATCTGTAGGTATAAAGCATGCTTGTGAGATGATATATAAGAAGAAAAAATGTAATAACATCATGGAAAATAACCATCCAATAACAGAATGGTATCGGTGGTAATGGCATGAATAAGGATGGCAATGGATACTGACCAGAATGGATAGGAAATTTTTAGACCTACTGGTTTCGGGTAAAAGCCAAAGGCAAAAATCAAGTTTCAAGTTGGGTACAGATATTGGTCTACCTAAACTAAACCCTAACTTGAACCCCGCCCTAAATAAATAAATAACTTTAAAGTTTGAAAAAGATAACATGTATGCCAAGTTAATTATGTAGTTAATAGTTGTAAATTATAGCGTTCAAGTTCAGGCTCGGATCAGGTTCGGGTTATGGATAACAGATGATAGGCAAAACCCAATCAGGATGTTCGGGTATCAAAGATCCATGCCTGGTCGGGTTTGGATAGTTATTTGGGGTTCAGGTTCAGGTATGGATAGTGCAAAACTTGACCCATGGGTATCCATTTCCATCCCTATGCAAGAAAAGGGCATCATGACACGGTGATTAATGGGTATGTTGAAACTCAATGGCTCCGGAATCCGGTGGTTTATGTGATAAAGGTGACGATTTAGTCTTTAAAATCAAGCACGGGAAACTAATTTTTTTGTGCAGTTGCATCTATCTAGCATGTGAAAAAACAAAAAGCATCAAATCTACGTATTGAAATCAAAATAAAGGAAACATCAAATGTGCAGTACCAAAATTTGCCAGTAGATGCAATAACTTGTAGAATGCCTCGCACTTCTTCTTCGTCTTCTTCTCCAGCAATCTCAGGCTTGGATTCTTTTTCTCTACGTTCCAAAAAAACAAAAAGGTTCAAAAGCTCAATGCCTAGAGTACAATCCAACAATAGGGACATGATGGCCTGTGCCATAGCAGTTTGATATTTAATTTATGAGTTCAATCCAGTAATTTGGTTTGTTTTCTTTGCACATCGAAGAAAAACAAATAATTCATGACTAAACATAAATTTCTCCTTTTTTCTTTTCTAGAAAATCCAAGTGGATCTAACAGAGATTACAAGAACGTAGTACCTAGGATTTATGGAGGACGCATCCTCCGGATTTTCATCGCGATTGCGAGGGGAGGTGGTGTTATCAGCAGCGTCGTTTGCAATTGAAGGTGGCGTTTCCATATCTACCATTTGTGATGAGAAGAAGATATTTTATATTTCTCTGTTGCTTTTTCGCACTGGTAGCAAGGAACCTAGGTTATCGCCACTCGGACCAAAACGCCTTCTATATTCGGTTCTTATTATTACTATTTTTTTATTTTTTTAAAGGAAGTATTAACCAAAAAAACCTGAAATATAACAAATTTATCATTGTGATTAATTTAATGCCACGAAATGTATCTTTTCCCTTCACTATCCTGCTTTTTTTTCACATTTAATTTTCTAATTAAAAAAAAAATTTATGTTCTCTCTTTACGTAATGTGATTGTCTTTGGTCAATTTGTTTATTGCTAGCTTTTATATTTTTGTGGTGTAAAAAATACGGTTAAATATTTTATAATATATTAAATTATGTCGTTGTATAACATAGGATTCATTAAAAATTTAAATTTAAAATGCAATTTTTATAAAGTAGTTTTTAAATTTTTTTAAACTAAATTTTGTAAAACTTTGTTTATTTTTAAGTTTTAAAAGTATTTTTTTAAAAAAATTATTTTTTATTTTTTTATTTTAAATTTTTTTATATTTTCAAGTCATTTTGATGCGTTGGTATCAAAAATAAGTTTTCAAAAATAAAAAAATTATTTTGATACATTTCCAAGTAAAAAACACTTTTGAAAAGTAATAATAACCAAGCATTTTATATGTGTTTTTTGCTGCATATAAATCTCAACCATAATTTTTACCAAACACATACATAAATTTAACTAACTATATTTAACCACACTTTTTTAAAACTTATTTTTTAAAATCACAACTACAAAAATATATCTAAAAAAACAAACACACTTTTAATGAAGACCATCAAATAATTCATCATATTTTATTTCCCGGCTTCAATTTCATTCTATAATCAACATAAAGCCTCTTCAAAAACAAAGATTCCGGTCCACAACCAATACCAAAACACGAATCTAGTAGCTTACTAATCCTACCAAGACACAAGTCCAGAAATTCAAACCAAAAGGGCTTCAATTATTGGTATGTGTTTACATGTGTTTTAAAAAAATATTTGACTTGAAAAAATATTAAATCTAGATTAACTATTTAGTAAGCAAAATATTAATAGTGAACAAGATAACAAATATAAAACATGTTAATATCAAACATTAAGATTCATGTTATGTTTATATTAAACTTATTATTACATTATTAGTATAATCTTCTCACTTTGACATAATAAAACTAAACTAAACTAAACATAACAAAAAAGAGAAATATAAATAAACAAGATAAGAATATAAATAAGATATAAGTTAACTAAGTAAATGAAAGAAAATGAAAAGCATAAATAAGAGATTAATATCAGCAAAACTTAAGCATTATAAAAATATAAAGAAAGATAGTAAGAGCATGATCTTGATTTAAAAACCAAGAGCAAAACTTAAGCATTATAAAAATATAAAAAAAGATAGTAAGAACATGATCTTGATTTAAAAACCAAGATGCGTAAATACATGGTAAATGCCTCCTTTATAGGTTAACATTTGGAACTATTGACTTGATGACTAATTATTGAGTGGGTGGACACATCTTGACTTGATGACAATCCCTATCTTCTTGTTTGAACAAAACATCATTGCTAATGTTAGAATTTAAACAGATAGTCTCTATGAAAGTTCTAAAAAATTGTCTCAGCTTTCTATGAAAGTTCTAAAAAATTGTCTCAGCTTTCCATTAAAAAAGGAATTAGTGTATTTAGACTTATAGAACTTGAGACATGGCTTGAACATTGAATAATGGCTAGATTACAGGACATATTCGAACTTTTCTGTTGATGCTAAGTTTTGAACTTCCAAACGGCAAAATTAAATCTTGAACTCTTCATGAATGTTTTAGGTTTATATCTTAGCTTTCTAGCCATATAAACCAAACTAAAATCCAAGATCTATAGTTGTAAATATGACCCAATGACTGAACAGTATTTTAACTTAGACTAAACCAACATCTCATTTTTAAACCTAACCCTCTCTTTTTTTTCTTAATCTTAGTAGTTGAACTCATCTATCGATCCTTTCATTTATGTGATAGGCCTGCATTTAAGATGGATATTTACTATAAATTAAAGGTATTTTATATTTATTAAATATGTTATTATAAAACATACTCTAGTTAAGGAGTTATTGATATTTCAAGTACAAAATGATGATATAAAACCTTGATAAAAATGCACTTTTAAATACTAATCACAAGAAAATTACTGTCTAGAACAAGAATATTACTATCTTTTGTTCACATTTTTGTGAAAAAAGCATTTAGATATATAAAGATGTTTTCTATGTAAAAACTTTCAAAAAGATTTTTTTTAATTAATAGACATTAAAACCTAGCTGATACATTTATTATTGCTACTACATCAACAAGTCTATCTTTTCCTAGCATCGTGTCTTTCATTTTCTTTTTTTCTTTTTTATATAAAAAGTTTTGTTCTCGTAGGTGAAGTACATAAATACAACATGTCCAAATACTAGTCTTGATAGATAAATGAAGTGATGTTAGTACAATGATGATCACCTAGTTGATTTGAGCAAAATCAATTGCATGTTCTAGCAAAATTTCCATTCTTCTATTTTTTTTCAATCATTATGAAAGTTCATCTTTATTTAATAAAAAATTATTATTTTAGTATTTTAAAATGAATATTATAGTTTATTTGTTTTTTTAATTAATTCAATTGCTACTCTATTTTTAACAATCTCATGGTGAGTTTGAAAATAATCTAAAATTTTAATTTCCAATAAGTCATGTGTTAATTGGTTTAAAACATAGTTATTAAACTTGATCCGGGGTCCAAGTTTCATGGGTCAAGCCGAATCAACTAGAAAAAATTAAAAAATTAAAGTTTTAATACTTGAAATGAAAAAAAAAATCCATATAAATATAAACTATACATATTGTAAACAATGAAGTTTAAAAGAATATTTTAAAAAGTTTTTTTTTCTACATTGAAAAAAAATAGTTTTTTTCTTAGAAACATAGAAATATATACTATTGGGTTTCAAATCCCACAATGAAAAATGATAGCTTTTTTCTTATGAATATAAAGTATATTTACTAATGGGTTTCAAATCCCACATTAAAAAGATATTATGTTATCTTTTTAAATTGAAGAATTTAAACTAAAAGGTTTTTTTTATCCTATATTGAAAAAACATAACTTTTTTCTTGTAAACATAAAGTATACATACTGATAGGTTTCAAATTTCACATTTGAAAAAAAACACCGAGTCTTAATTAAAAAAACATAAAAATATATAAATATATAAAATCAATGCAAGATATGAAATATGAGTGAGAATTAAACAAGAAATCAAAGGATCAATAACTTATCTCAATTAAAAAAACAATGGTTAAAATGAGAGAGTAAAACTTCTAAGGACCAAATATGACGGAATGGACTATTATCGAGTGTTTGTGAAATTTGAATTGGAGTGAGAAGGAGTAACTCATAATACATGCAAAATTCATTAACTTTTGCTTGGTTATAATTGAGTGGTGTTATCATTTTCTCAAGTGTATGATGTTTTATGAAACACTTGTTATTGTTGATAATTTGAAAATCAAAGATACAATTCTTTTAATTTGGATGAAAAGAAAAGTTAACTAATACTCAATTAAAATGAACAAATTTATAAAAATATAATATACACAATTAAAAATATAAGGATATATTAAAGACCACCCAATTATTTAATAAAATAATAAATATGCAAGTATCTCAACTTTTATGATGATTGTTGTATGTTAATGTTTATTTATAAAAGATAAGGTAATATAAATTGAGACTTATTTATATTAGATATCTGATAGTTATGATGGTGACCAAAATCATTGATGATTGTTTATATATAATGGAATGGAGACGATGATGGTAGTTATTTTAATGTGTATGATGATGGCTGTTGATTGGTATTTAAAAGTGTATTTTTATCAAGGTTTTATATCATCATTTTGCACTTGAAGTATCCCTAACTCCTTAACTAAAATATGTTTTATAATAACATATATAATAATATAAGATACCTTTAATTTATGATAAATATTTATCT